TTTCGATGATGTTATGTCTAGCTAGAGTATTTAAATCGAAAAAAAAAAGTTTTCCAGAAAAGTAGTAGAAACTCCACAGATTCACTCAATAAAGATTTCATCATTTTCATCGCTAGATATTGTCTATTGATCTATTTCCGTTCCCTTTGATTTGAATTTGATCTAAATTCAATGATCAATAGTTACTGAAAAGAAAAGTTTCCTTTAGAATGTAAAAATGAATTGAGCGACATTAATTCTGATTGGAAAGAAAGTTCTTCTCATTGATTATGAAAAGAACATCAGAAAATATTCATGAGATTTCGACTACCTTGACGTGAAGTTTATCCTATTGATGTGAAATTATCAGCATCTGTAGAACTCGACCAGTCGACCGTTTTGATTTCACAAAGTACAGTAATATCCAGAATCGAAATGTCACATCTTTTATTCCCAAACCATTTTCCATATTGAACAGAAGAATTTTTCATTAATTATAAATCTAGAAATGAATAATATTGGAATAACAATCCTAACAGCTCTACAAAATCAATAAGAGACTTTTCCATAATCTATTACAACAAATAGAGATAAAGATGATAAATATTCATTCTTCAAAAAAAAGTCGTATATACTATATCGGATAAGACTGAAAAAAGATATAGAAAGAGATCTTAAAATAATAAATGTTAACACACTCAAATTCATTAATCGTTGAGAAACATCAATGAATGAATTAAATTGATTGAATCCTATATTTACAGTAAGAGTAAGTAATTCAGTTACAATAAAAATGAGAAGATTACTAACTAACTTATAAACAAGTTGTCAGAAATGTATATCTTGAAGGTATAAGAAAGAACAGTATACAAATAGCAAGATGAAACATTTAAGAAATACTAAAAATCAATACAAATGATAAAAGAATAAAGATTTGAAAAATGATTGTTTCTGACATGAACAATGACTGATTTTCCATTGATGAACCTTGATGATATTAATTGAATCAATTTTGATACCAATTATTTGTTGTTATTGTTAACAAAGAACATTTATTCATAAAGAGAAACCAATTGGAGCAAGACAAAGAGATGAAGATATTTCTGAACTAATGATGATCTTGTTCTTCATTAATTATCTAAAAGAGATAGTTTTCTTCTTAACGGGTGGGGCAAAAGTTTTGCATTAATTTTGCTTTTGATATAACTCTGCAACGTAATGTCGTGGAGACTTGATTTTTTTTTTGTTAGAAAGAGCAAAGTGTCTAGTGCAAGAATATATAAAAGAGTTTGATTGGAAATGTTTCTCGAAAACTACAACACTCTTAGAACAGAAGACGTTGGAAAACTCTTCCGCAACTTTTTTGAACTTAGAAAAGAATTCCTATAATTAGACAGGCTATCTTTTTATTCGTCTAATTCGGATTTTATAATATAAGGATAGAGCACTATTGCATTAAAAAAAAAGAAATTTTCTAAATGTTTTATAACGGTTGAAATGAACGCTTTTATGATATCGTCTGTGTCATCGATTTTTCATCATTGTTGGTAGCAATCAAAAAAATAAACTCTATTTCGCAGGAGAGATTGCTAGAAGCTATATATTTTATATGAAAAAGAAAGTTTATTGAGTCCTCTACCAAATGATATTATTTGGAATAGGACGCAACTTCTCTATGAGATATTCAGAAAAAAACTTATTTTCACGCTGTGAAACCAAATTCGAACAACTAATTTATTTTTATCAACGTGCCTTTTGTTCATTCTCTTGTATGTTATACCAATTATTTTAATACCAAATGAAAACCTCCGTTGTAATGAACAACTGTATATATATGGTGCTCGAAAGTGTCGAAAGTGGCTAATGAAAAAGGCTCAAACAAATATTTTTGGATTAAAAAAATGTGACCGAAGTTGCGGAAGAGTTTTTGCGGAGCCTTGTGTTCTAAAACTATTATAGCCTTCGAAAAACATTACAAATCAAATTCTTTTATATATTTTTGCACTAGACACTTTGCTCTTTCTAACAAAAAATAAAATCAAGTCTGTACGACATTGCGTTGCAGAGTTATATCAAAAACAAAATTAATGCAAAACTTTTGCCCCACCCGTTATTTTCAGTTAAGAAATCTATTAATCATTAGAATTATTCAACATGACTCTATCGAGTAAGTTCAAATGAATCAGATCATTGATAGAATGAATATTGATGAAACTATTTTCTATTAATCTAAATTAATGAAATCATTTGTTTATTTCTAATCAATATTGTGTGTGTTTTTTTTTCATTCTAATTGATCAAATTTAGTTTTGTCTGATCGATATCGAAAAAAAAAAATTTTTTTTAAATAATCAAGTTTAACAATTTTCAACTTTATCTGGTCAATTCATTGAATTAATCTTTTCCTTTCCTCTTAACGATTTCATATCGATGAACAAGAAAATTTCCTTGAAAAAAGATTTTCATCTTTAACATTATTCAAAAGCCTAAAGACCTTATCTATTTCAATGTAAAACTGTTCATCAGGGTGAAAAGTATAGCATCATACTCGTCCACAAAACTACGTTTTTTTTTTTGTCGAGCTCAATTTTCGTTCATGTTTCGTATTCGTCAGATGAGAAAGTTACGTGTAACAATGTAATAGTAACAATCAAATTTATACTTCTTCAAAATTTCTGTTCGATCAAATAGAAGTTTCAATCTATCTGAGATTCAATTGATATTTTCTGCTAATTTAAAATGATATGAACATCATTCATTTTCGTTCTCTTCGTTCTATCTCTCTCTTCGGAGCAAATGGTGCATGACATTTATCTTCCCATATTATTACATTATACTAATAACAAACCACGTGACTTACTATCAACACATGCTGATTATTTATCGATAGAACACGACTGTTTCAACGTCGAATCTTAACGTCGTTATTATTGTGTATTTCAATTGATTCACGTGTGGAAACAAATTGATATCATTTCGAATTGTTTTCATCGTCTCATACACATACTATCATGTAAGTTATTGTAGATATTCTCAATTCAATATTACTGTTAGTAAATATTTTGTTTAGGCCAGGTCGGACGATTGAAATCTATACTAAGTAAGAAATATTCAATATTATTCGATTACAATTGATCTGTTCCGTAGGATCAGTATGCATCGAGCTGGTATTAAGAAACACTTTTTACCAATGGATGATGATATGAATGCAAAGCTTTGTTATTGTGAAAAGGGCGTCGAAGTAGTAGGACAACCAAGTTTAGTATTCATACATGGATTCTCATCTAGTAAATCAACATGGTTATCTGTGATCAAAGTTTGTCAATAATTCATCATTTAATATAGATAAAAATCTTCGTTTATACTCAGCATATTCCAGATAGATATCATTGTATTGCCGTTGATTTGCCTGGTCATGGCGAAACTGTCGGTTTTAATGAAGAATATTATATCGCTACAAATGTTGTAGATCTACTTAAACAGGTATTGAATGATCTTTATCGAGTCTATTTGTTATTCTATATCATATGTGTGTGCGTGTGTGTTTTTACTTTGGGATTTATTAGTTTTTTGACAGATTGAATTTCATCGAACCGATATGTCTTGTTGGTGGATCGATGGGTGGTGCAATTGCTGCGATGTTTGCCATGAAATATCCATTCGATGTAGGCATGATCTGTGTACTTTCTCCTCCTCGTAAGTTTGAATAATTTCATTATCAAAGTATATTGTTTCTTGATCTATGATAGCCGGAGAAGAATACGAAACTGATATGGTCCAACAATTACGTTTGGGGAAGTATCATGTAATTTTACCTGAAACATTTAAACAATATTATGCTCTCATGAAAATATTATCAAAGAAAAAGATTCCTTTCGCTCGATCATTGGCTAAAACATACTTTAAAATACATTTACGCACGTTAAATCAACATAAAAGAAGTAAATAAATCGATTATGATGTATATAGAAGATTTATTTTTAGTTGATCGTTAGTCCTTCAAATTGCCTTTGAATATGACTATCCAAATCTTGGAGAAATCTATAGACAATTAAAATATCTAATGTGTCCAACACTCATCATTTGGGGTCGTGAAGATCAGGTATGAATCATGTGATTTATAAAGAAGTAAACATACTCAGTCGAGTATGTTTCAACACCACTCAGATTGAACAGGATCAACATTTTATTCATACTGAAGTTTGAATTAGTTTTTTTCAATGATCTGGTATACAAAATAAAATCTCAAAACACACTCGTGAAACAGTTACTTTTTTTACAAAGTGAAATTTTTAGATTATCTTGTTTTAGTTATGCCATCCTGCAGGTGCTTCTTATTTGGCGACATTACTATCTAAATCAGAATTGATAGTTTTCGATAATTGTGGTCATCTCATCACCATCGACAAACCTGAAGAAACTGCCGATGCTGTTATCCATTTTCTAGAACGTAATCCTTACTATAAAAGCAGATTGTAAAAAAATCAAAGTGACAATATTATAAAATTTTTCTTATAATAATTAATAAATTTTACATTAGAGATTTGCATAGAAAAGAATCAATAGTTAGTTCTATACTGTAAAAAGAAGGTATTTTATGCATTTCAATTCTTGAAATCCTTCTTTACCGTATGGTATGAACCGACGATATCTTTTTAAAATTGAATATACTGATGTCGTCGTCATTTGTGTTTTTTTACTGAATTCCTTAGCTATGTGGCAGTGAACGTGAGATAAATCATCCTCTCTTCACTCTCAATTCGAGAGATTTTTATTCTTAATTTAACTTTCTAGACTCTGGACTATTTAGTCTGGAGAAAATGTTTTTCTGTAGAAATGATGGTCAAAAAGGAACTGAATTTTAAATAATGTGTGTGCCTTAATAGTCTAGAAACCGTATCTTAAAAACGTTCATAAGAAAAAATATAGATAATATTTGCTTAAGTTCTGTAGCTGAAAGTACTTGATGTTTAGTTATACGTAATCATTAGTTTATTTACTGTAAATAACTGGCACATATGTATTTACCTTCGTTAATACGGTTGCGAAAATTGATACGGAAAAATGTATATAGGGGTTAAGTCTTCTCACCTAATGAATATTCAAGTTAGATTGAAACTGTGTTTATGAGTACTTAGACCTGTCCTATGAATGCATGATAATATATGATATTGAAAACAAACCAATGAGTTTATAGCAGTGAGTGGGAGAGAAAAGGATGAAAAAAGCCTTCAGTATAATCCTTAAGAGATTAAAATATGAAATACAATGGACCTGTTTGACATGAACAGGAAAATACTTGTGAGCTGTGGATGACGATACGAAAGAAGAACACACAGTTGTATCCATAGCGAACTTATGTTTTGTTTTGGTTTTTCAAATTTCTTTCATCTTTTAAAATGTATTGATAAATGTTAATTAATTGACATTGAAAAATCTTTTTAATCAATTAGAGAGAATTCAAAAAAAGAAATCTTGTGAAAAAATCAAAGTTAATAACTTAAAATCTGGTTATATGATTGGGTGTAAATAGTGTTGTTTTAGTTTATCATTGATGAAGATATAATAATGATTTTTAGTTAGATATTTTGATGTCTTTTGCATAGAACAATTGATTGAAAATATTCAAGAAAATGATTTGATTAAATTGATCGATCAAGTTTTCTCTTTTATTTATAGTCTTTTAAATAGTAATATCATTTTATAAGAAATAGATTATCTTAAAAACGTAGGTGAAGTGAGCATAAGATTCGTGCTAATACAAGGAGAAACCTGATGAAAGGTTTGTAAAATGACACACCTTTCAGTTTTATGGTACTAAATTAACAGTATAAATACTAAAAAGGATAATGTTCAATCACTTCAGTCATCATAATCGATAGTAGTTATGCCATTTTATAATTTCGATCGAATATTACTATTATTATTCATGACTAAAAGATTGTTTTTTCTGATATCATCAATAGTTTGACATCCACATAACATCATAGCCACTCGAAATTCTTTTTTCAATATATCCAAAACATTTCGTACACCTTGCATTCCATCTACTGCCAAACCCCATAATACTGGTCGTCCGATAAGCACTGCTTTTGCACCCAATGCCATAGCTTTCAAAATATCTGTTCCTCGTCGTACACCACCATCAATATAAACATCGATTTGATGATGTTCACCACTAATAGCATCCATGATATCTGGTAAAGCATCAATAGTACTTTGACATGTATCCAATTGTCGACCACCATGATTCGAAACAACAATTCCTTGTACGCCATGTTTAACAGCTTCACGGGCATCATCTGGATGTATAATACCTTTGAGAATGATGGGTAATGACGTGATCGACCGTATCCATTTAAGATCTTTCCACGATAATGAGGCATCCATGGGTGCTTGACGATAAGTTTTAGCAAAATCACTATTTTTATCATCAATTAGATTTTCCGCTTGAATACCTTCAGGTAATGAAAATTGATTATGGACATCACATTCTCTATTGCCTAATATACAACTATCAACAGTAACAACTAAAGCTTTATAGCCACATCTTTCAGCATGTTCGATTAATCGTTGTGTATATTGACGATTTGTGAATACATATAGCTGATACCAAAGTTGTGAAGTACTTTGAGGATAATTTGTTTTAATTTGCTCCCGATGTTCTTCGGCAATCCGTTCCATGCGTGTTGATCCCATAGTACTGACACACATTATTGTCGAACAAGCAACAGCTGCACGAACAGTTGCTAATTCTCCATGTTCACCATTGGCTAATCGATGTAAAGCTGTTGGAGCAATAATACATGGAAATGAAATTGTCATCGTAGAATTTAATAGTTGTGTTTGACAACTGATTGAATTGATTGCTGAATGCGATGATACATCAATGAGTATTTTTGGACGTAATTTTATTCGACGAAAAGCTTGTTGATTATCAATTAATGTTAACTGGTCATCTGAACCAGTACTATAAAAATCATAGATCATTTGTGATAATTTCCCTTTCGCTTGTTGATGATAATCTTCCACGTTCAATAGAGCTCGTATTGGTTGTGTCAAAGACATTTCCGATTTTTTTTCAACGACTTGCATGGTCTGATATTTTTTATATAAAAAAATATGACAAAAAGTACGGATCTTATACTCTAAAAAATCAAGACATATGAAATCTATAGACAAGATTGTTCATCCGTTTATACAAAACAATTTGACCTAATTCTGATTGATTGATTTATTGCTAAGTTAGATACTTCAAGTGTCAACGGATAACTGATTTTAGACACTCGAATGTCTTACTTTTATCTTCCTTAGACACTTCAGCTGATGATCTACGAAGTTTTAATTCTAGAAATGATTGCATTTCGATATGAATAGTGCATATTAAGAAAAAATAATTTTATATTCTTTCTCATCAATTTTTTTTTGAAATTTAACTTAATGTTTTAAAGAGAATTCAAAAACTTTTACAATATTTTTCTATAAGATGGTAAATTAAATTTGAAAAAAATCAAAATTGATAAGAAAAAAATATAAAATTATTTTATTAAAAATATTTTCCTAATATGCATTATACAATCATTTCTAGAATTAGTAGCTTGTAGATCAAGCAAAGTATCAGAATTGTTTAAAAAGTTAGCAACGGAAAGATGTTCGTAATATTAATATAATCTAGAACAAAAAAAACACCATAATGAGATAAGATGAAAAACTGAAATAATTATATTAAATATTTCAAGTTTTAATTATATGACTAACTTCTCAATCATTAAACATTACTTGAATAGATTATGCTGAATAATAAGATATAAAGTCTTTTATAAAAAAACAAAAAAACACTTGACCTCAAAATACGTTGTGATTGTTAACATCTAGGCAAAGAGTTGTAGTTGTGATCAAATTAATCTTATTTATCTAATATAGAAAAATATAAAACAATACTCAAACGTTGTTGCTGTTCATAGGGATATTGTATAATAATAGAATTACAAATAGCCATCTTCTACTTATTTGAACTTAAATTTCGATAATATTTGAAAATATTGCAGTAGTCGTAGGATACGAAGATCACTAAGATTGAAAGTTATAAAGATGAAAAAAGAATTAACGGTAAAAATATAAATTAGAAAACAGGTCTTACTTCCCGCTTCTTGATAATTCCATATTTTAATTATACAATAAATAATGTGCAAATTGTGATAATAGTTCACATTTAATAACATTCTTTTCAAAAATACTTTTGCTTGGTATACTAAATTCAATTGTCAATAAAAATTCTGATGATAAATGTAAAAAAATCAACGTCAAGAAAATGATCTAGAATAAAACTATATAATATGAAAGCAGTATGTGAATGTGGGTGTGGGTAAGAGTTAAGACATGATACTCACACCACCACCGTTTTCGATATATAACATATATGTTGCAGTTGAGTTTGGAATCTAGTTGAGATTGGAATGACTTAGTTCACTTTGTTTAAAAATTTTTCTAACACGTATTCAAGAAAACTTGTTTGTTTCTTGTCAAATTTATATTTACTATTACTTCTCGGACAATAAAAAGTATCTTCATACTGTTATCTTGTTGATGAAAAGTCATTAGTCATTCTATTTATTGTTTTCTTCTAAAAGTAAATCTTATTCATCATTTTCCTTATATTGTAGTTTCTATATAGGTGCTCGGGACATGGGGACGTTGAACGATTGGTTGAAACAAAATTGAGAGTACTTGAGCTATTTCTTTCTATAGAATGGATGTTTTTCGAGCTGCGGGACATGAGGACATTGAATCATTGGTTGAAACGAAATCGAGAGTACTTGAGCTATTTCTTTCTATAGAATAGATGTTTTTCGAGCTGCGGGACATGGAGACATTGAATTATTGGTTGAAACGAAATTGGAGAGTATTTGAGCTATTCGTTTCTATAGAATAGACGCTTTTTTCGAGCTATGGGACATGGGGACATTGAATCATTGGTTGAAACGAAATTGAGAGCATTTGAGTTATTTATTTCTTTAGAATAGATCTTTTTTCGAGCAGCGGGACATGGAGACATTGAACGATTGGTTGAAACGAAATCGAGAGTATTCGAGCTATTTGTTTTTATAGAATAATTTTTTTTTGTAAGAGATTCACATGAAAAAACAATTAATGTAATTAAAAACAAACAGACATAGAATGTGTTTCTTGATTGAATGTTCCATAGCAACGAACATCAATCGATTAATTATAAGGAGATGAATAAAATTCATAAAATTCTAATATTCACTAAATAAGAATGGTTAAAAATGAAAACTTTCTATATGTAAATATTTTAAAATAAGTCCAAATAGATCATAGAAGTTCGACGAATCATTTAGAATCGCTAAAATTACAAAAGTTGAATACAATAATACACAAACATTAATTATCGTGTGACTCATACTATTTACATGCATTCCAAACTCAACTGAATTCCCATGTCAACTGTGACATATTCTTAACTTCCTCATGTAAACACTCCAGAGTGTAACATCAATAAAGTAAAGTAAAAATCCAAAAAAATCTATTATCTTATGTCGGTTAAACTGAAGCACACAATCACATCATTCGAATCGTACGATTTACTAAGAGGTGATGGTTAGAATGACTTGCTTTTCAAGTGCCTCCATCCTATTTCAATGACTTTTTTTTGCCTATAAATACTATGTAGTGTCCTAGTAAAAATCCTTAAAGAATTTTTGGGTTCCTATCCTTTTCGTTAAAAGTTATGAAAAATTTTTTTTGTTGCTCCTATAGTGCATAGCATACAGAATGGGTGTGAAATAGCATCACAATAAAAATACGAAAAATATGTCCGTATCGGTACAATCAAATGGAATTGATTTTTTAGTTAGTAGTGAAAGTTTATTCAACGTTGTTTTTTCTTTCATATGCATAACGCAAGCAAATATTATTGTGAAGTATTATTGTTGGCATGATGAAAGCAATTTTACCTGTTATCAAATGAAAAGAACACATGTGCAATGTTTAATAGATAATTGTCAGTTGTTATCTAAGAGAATAATAAGAACAAGTCAGAACGAACCTTATGAATGATTCTGTATCGATATAAGCAGAAGTTTTCGAGACCAGTTAATTTAAAGTCATCAATTAGGAAGTTTCAAATTTGATATATGAAACATTAGTTTTTGCAAGAAATCTAATGTTTTGATACTCAAAGGGCTGCAATTGTGTGTTTTACTTATAAGGTACAAAATTCAGCATTAATACTGACTTTTTTTTTTGAAAAATTTCTGTGCCTACATAAATGCAGAATCATTCATAAAAATTCGCTTTGAATTGTTCTTATTATTCTTGTAGATAACAACTGACAATTATGTATGAAACACATCAAATTTTCTTAACTTTTGAAGAAAAAAATGGGAACCTAAATCCTTTAAGGATTTTTTCACTAGAAAACTATACAGTATTTATAGGTAAAAAAGTCATTAAAATCGGGTGAGGATACCTTGAAAGTTTTCCTCGTCAGTAGAGATGATTGAATTGTCTTTGTGTTTGTCATGTTTTTTCGTTGTACTTTATAAAAAAATTGTTTTATTGATCGAAAATCGAAGATGTGCCTCAGATTACATGATCATAGTTTTGACAAAGTAGAGAAAAAAAAAGCATAATTATTCTCTTCGAATAATTTGATTCAGAAAATTGACTACACTTATAAATATGTTGTCCAAAGAAATAAACTACTAATAAAACTAATTAGATATCGCAGCCTTTACCGCTTCATCAAAAATTTCCACAGCAACATTAACATTTTCTTTTGTAAATATTAATGGTGGTGCAAATCGAATAACACTGATGCCACCACCACCAAATATAAGTAAACCTCGTTTATAACATTCAAGTTCGATTTTATCACGTTTTTCAGGTGCATGTTTCATTGTTTGTTTTGATTCAACAATTTCTACTCCAATCATTAAACCAAGACCTCGAACATCTCCAATACATTCATATTTATCGAGCAATTTAACTAATTCATCTTTTAAATAATTTCCAATAATCCGTGCATTTTCTACTAAACCATTTTCTAATAATTCAATAGTCTTTAATGCCGATGCAATACAAACTGGATTTCCACTAAATGTTGATGCATGTGATCCTCGTGGCCAATTCATAATATCTGCACGAGCAACACAAACACCAATTGGTAAACCTGAACCAATACCTTTCGATAAACAGATAATATCCGGTTCAACATTATAATATTCAGTAGCAAACATTTTTCCTGTTCGTCCCATTCCACTATGAACTTCATCAACAATTAAAAGTATACCATTTTCGTTACATATACGTCGAAGTTCTGGCAAAAAACTAGCTGGTGATGGAAAATAGCCACCTTCACCTTGTATAGGTTCAACAACAATTGCAGCAATATCTTCTGGTGGTGTTGTTGTTTTAAAAATAAAATTTTCAATCCAATTTATTGTTGCTTGAGATACACTTTCATCATCGGTTAGATTTCCGAATGGTGAATGAAGCTTTTTTGGATAAGGTACATGAACAACATCTAATAAACGACGCATATAACCAACTTGATGAATTTTTTTCGATGCTGTTAATGAAAGTGTAGCAAGACTTCGTCCATGGAATGAACCTACAAATGAAATAAATCTTTGTCGTTTTGTATAATACATAGCAAGTTTTAATGCTGCTTCGACTGCTTCAGCACCCGATGTAGCAAAATAGGTTCGTGTTGGTGCTTTGATTGGAACTAATTCATCTAGTTTCTTGGCTAAATCGGGCATATGATGATAATAATAAGTTGTTCCACACATATGAATCAATGTTTGAGCTTGTTTTGTAATTGCTTCAACAATTTCAGGATGACAATGACCAGTTGAACAAACAGCAAAGCCTGAATTACAATCCATAAATACATTACCATCAGTATCTTCAATCCAAACACCGTAAGCTTTTTCAATAGCAAGTTTGTATGGATAACGAATAAACGATGGCGTTACATATTTTGTATCTTCGTCAATTATTTGTTTTGCTTTAGGACCAGGTAATTCAGTTTTTATTATTGGTCTTTCTAACATTGTGTTGTTCATATACGAAAGATTTGTAGTATACTAATAATTTATTATTTGACTGTGTTCTTTTATACAAAAACAAACGAACAATATATATATATATTTCATCGTTGTTATCTTTACATGTCTTATCATGTTAAAAGAAAGCGAAAGCAAACAAAATGAGAACTAATAACTTCTAGGCTATTACAATATTTTTTGCTTGTGCATTGCAAACATCTATTGTGTGTCTCTCCCTAAAGCTTATTTCTCATGTGGAAGAATTGAAAGATGAGTGGAGAGTGATGAGATAAGAATGTCGATCAAGTTCCCTATAACACAGGTGAAAAGAAATGACTACTCATGACAAAGGGTAGTATCTGTCGAATAAATTGAGAATGACAAGAGTCATGAAGACTTAGAAGCGTGTAACCATAAGTAAACTATTTTCTGCAAGGACTTTCGGAAATGAGATGTTTTGAACAGCATCGATTTTTTTTCAAACATGATTGTTAATGTATGTTCAAGTAAGAAAGTTGGACCCACCTCTGCTAACTCCATAGAGTGCGAAAGACATTCTGATATTTTAAGAAAACAAGAAAACTTTTAGATTCTTTGATGCTTTTCAAAATTTTCAGATTTTCAAATTTTTATCTTCGTTTTGAAGTTTTTCTTAAATTCTTGTAGATCATCGAACTTCTGTCTTTGAAATGGAGTTTTCGGGAAGCAATTATTTGACAAAATCATCTCGTTTCATTCAATTCAATTAATCCTGCGATGATCTCCAAACAGATCAATAATACATGGGTCCTACACTATGTTCCAGCTGATGTCGAAGCGACAAATCTTTGGTTGTCCTTGTGAGTAGATATTTTATTGCCCGAAACCGTTGGGCTTCTTCTATAGCTATTCATCGTCATGTGCACAAACGGATTTCGTCTCACATGAAACTGTTCTTGGGCTCAGTCTTGATTGTCAACTTTTCGACTTTTTTTCTTCACACTGCAATGCTTTTACAATCAATTATATGTTCAGATGCTGATCGATGAGCGTCTTTACGATTATGAAAATATCTCTTTACCAATGGATTTGGATTAAGATTATTCACCAAATTTATCATTTGTGTCGTCATCGAACACAAAATAACAAACTTTATTCTTCGAGAATTCAAGTATCTTGAAGTATTGTAAATATTCTTGCATGTCGGACACTGATTGCCTATATGTTCGAGATAAACTTTATCTCATAAATGTGCACCGAAAAAAATATGAAGTCGAATATCAACTTTTGGCGACACGAATCTATCTGGCTCTATTGATTGTATCTTTCGTAATCGCTTTCCTTTTCACATGATTCCAAGGTCGTACACTGTCATTAAGAGTATATAAAATCACCAAATGAGACTTACTGCGCATTTCTTCATACTCATTATTCTAACAGTTTATCGTGTTCTTGAACGAGAATCTCTATTGATTGCAAGAATTTTATAGTGCTTTAATATGAAATTCATGAAGTTTGTAATCAAGTGATGTTATCAGCGGATGTTCTGATTTCTCTACTACAAACAAACATGTCCTGGACCAATTTTGGTTGGCATCTCATCTGACCTCAAATATATGCTCTAAACTATCGATATTTCATCATGGTTAGTAGTCTAGCTCAGTTTAGTGCCAATAATCAGCTGAGAAGTTTAATATTAATTGAAGCGATAATTTTATAAATATTGATACATTGATGACGTATCAATGACTGACACTCTTAAACATGCTTTAATTGCAGTAGATCATGCCTATGAGTCAATTTTCAATATGTTTCAAGCGAATCAATTTCAAAACCAATATATGACAAGCTGAAAAAACAGATTTTTCGAGTTTAGACGAATATTACATTCTTCGTACTAGTCTAGTTTCATTGATGAATGGTAGTTGTTCTTGTGCAGGTAGCAAATCGAATTGTACAAAGATGCCTATCTTTTACGATTCGAACCGTGGTGCGATTGTATTTTCATTAAAAGATATTCGAAACACTCTGTTAGTTATCTTTTATCTTTCATACATTTAGATTTAGTCATTGGATGCTCGCTCACGAATGGTCTTTCTCATCCGACATTCAAGTGTTTCTATGATGATATTTATGTATATCAACTAAACAGAGCTCTAAATAGTTCTTTCACTAAACTGAATCGTAGTGCAATACGATTTCCATCAACGAGTTCAATCGACTCGATTCTAGATGAGTATTTACTAGAATCATGAAATTATTCCAATATGTCCTTCATCGATATGTCAATATCATTATACCAAAACAAAATAATATTGTCTTCATATTCACAACACTAATTAGACTGTACGGTGAATTGACCACAGTCCTACAAATTTTCGTTTGACACTCGTTACGTATCTATCGAATCATCATCGGATGATGTCCATATTCGTTACAACACGTATCTCCATCGTCCTAAATCCAAATGAATCACTTAGGACATCAGCAATGTTTCATTTTCAGCTAAAGAAACACGCTCAATTTTCGATATTGTATGTCTTTATTTGCTTTTATTCAATTTTTTTTTGCATGCAAAAAACCTACTTCCGCCCAATTAGAATATTTATTCTCTTATCACATTTCTATTTTGCTCCGTATTCATCGACATCAAACAGAATCAGATGTTAGAAATTATCGAGCTGACATAACTATAAGATGATTATATCTAGAGACCAATGTTGAAAAACGATGTATTATTTATTGAATAATCAAAAACGATCGACGATTTTGACGACTTGTTTCAATAACTAATCAGTTATGTCGATGTTTCTGTAACAAATTGAAATTTAAACACTGAGAAAACGAGATATGTTCAGATTTCCAAATTTTATGAAAATTTCAGACATAGTAAAAGAATCTATGAAACAATGCAGTACAGAAATTTATCAGAAACTTTCAAAAGTTAACAATATTTACTGAAACTTATCATGAAAGCGGAGGTAAATTAACCAAAGATTACAAAAATTCCTCGAATATTACTAAGAAATGTTTGAGTGAATCTCGAAATTGCTGAACCATCAGAAAGTTGTTGTCAGATAAATTCGACAATTATCACTCTCCAAAAAGGAAATTTCTAGATGTTTTCAGAGAATAAAGACTAACAACGCAAACATCATTAAGAAATCTCTGAAAATATCGATATCTATAAAACAAATTCACGCCCAACGTCGATCTATTCTGGGAAATTCCAGTAGATATAGAAATTATTATATTTATTTCATGTCGTCTAGCAAAATCTGGTTCCATTTCGTACCTTTATTTTATATTTCAAAAAACGGTTCCACGAGGAGAAAAACCAGTCCGTTTAACATACTCAGTCGAGCTCTGTTGGTATGTTCAAGTTTTTTTTTTTGAGAACTCTGCTAAGTGAAATCATCCAATTAATCCATTGTCAACGAGATCGAATGCTACAATAGCTCAAAACGAATCTCTACGACCTTGTTTATCATTGTAATCACTCAAACTGGCTGCAGGTTGAACAACATCAGACATTCTCTTCTTTCTCTCTCCAAAAAAGTCGCTGTTTGCTGTTCACATGATTCCGAATAAAAACTATTTGTTTTGAAAGAACCAACATGACATAGAGCGGATCAGATCTGAAATATACTTTATTTCAATAAGTTCCGGAAAGTGATTCTTTCTGTAAGGTTCCGTTATTAGCATCCTGATTTCTCAGTAGTCTGAATAGAATGAACAAATACGACTTGTTATATATTCTTTTTTACAACTTACTTTTTTCAGATGACAAACCATAATAAACAGTTTAAAAGACGAAAGCCGCGTTACAATCAAAGATAGATTGGATGTGGATATGCGTGAAGACAAGAGCAAGATTGGCATCCACGTCCTATCTCTACGCAAAATTATAAATCGAAATTCGAAAATGAATTTTCTTGATGTTTCCGAGAGGTAATCGGATCTTAGAATTTCTGACTCTAAGGATCCGAACCCAATGGTAACTATGTTTAGATATCATAATCAAAAAGAGTTTTGTTGTTTTTTCCTATTTTTTGAATAAAACAAACAAAAATTCAAAGCATATTATTATATACATCAAAGTTTTCTTATGATTCGGACCCGATAGACTCTACTAAAGAGGTGGCCACGGCATTAATTTAAAAAATACTGTAAAAATACAATATCTCTACAGCAATAAACTAAATGTACGACAGCTTTTCAAAGTATTCATAGCTCATGTGTGTCTACATAATGCACATAGGCTCGAGTCAACAACGGTTTATCAATTGAAAAACTTCTCTCATGAAAATATTACACATGTGTTTCTATTAAAAACATCATTTATTTTTTATTGATACATATTTCTTGAAAACAAATCACTATTTGTGTACATTAGGATAGGTACATGTGTCAATATTTTGTATATGATCATTACATTGACAAAGAATTGTTGGTATAAAATTTGTTTCATTATTACAACCAAATATGAAATTTTTTTCTTGTTGATTTGAAACTAAACATTGTTGTAATTCACATGAATAATCATGATGATTTGTATATAATGATGGATTTCTTAAGACTAGTACTGTTGGACATGAATGTTGTTGTTGTAAATTTAATGATGAACAACATGCTGCTGTTGTTGTTGAAGTATTTCTACTATATTGATATTCATGTGAATTTATTGAACGACAACAATGATATCGACGAAATGTAGGTGGATATGGTGGTAAAGCTGGAGCATTTGTATTAGTTAATTTTTTTTCATTATATAAAAATGGTTGTTCACTATCAGATGATAATGATGGTAATTGTTCATAAAGACTTTCATTTACTCCTCCTCCAATTGTTCCATTATTATTATTATTATTATTATTATTATTATTATTAGAAATTTGAATTGATGATTGATGTAAATTTTTATGATGATAATAATGTTGAGAACGTTGACGTTGAAGTTCAATTTTTAAATGATGACGAAGTTTTCGTCGACATATAGCTAATAATACAAGAAATAATAAAAAAAG